AAGTCTGTGGAAGGCCATAATGGCCCTGCTTTAAGTGGTTCGCTACTACCGCAGCTCACCACACTGTCTCTGCCTCTGCCGCCATCTTGGATCTCCTGGTGTTCCCTTCTTGACACAAGGGCTGCAGGACCGATGGCCAAAAGTGGATGGCTGTTGTCCTCCAGAAACCTCAGCTCTTCCCCACCTCTTCCTCTTGCCCTTAAGAAATCTCAACTTTTCCACGTGATGCAGACATCAGTGTTCAAGGGCAAGTGTCTGAATGGCAGAACAGAGGAGTCTCTTGTCCTCCAGAAACCATGGCTATTTTAAATTGCTTATATTGTTATTATTGTTGTTGTTAGTGTTGTGTCTGTCAAGTCACTTTCAGCTTGTAGTGACCCTATATGCAACAGCTCTGAAGTCTGCTCTAGCCTGAGCCAACCTTATGTCTCTGAGACACCTACCCCATTATCCCAGTCACAGAGTTAGTCCTTCTCATTAAGGGTCTCTCCACCCTCCCAAGCATGCTGTCCCTCCACCGTCTCAAGCATGATGTCCCTCTCCAAGGACTAGTCCTTCCTTGCAACATGCCCAAAGTATGTCAGACCAAGCTTCAAAATCTTTGTCTTTAAGGAACAGCCTGCTTTTATTCCCTCATGGATGAACCTGTTTGTTCTCCTAGCAGTCCATGGTATACTCAATACTCTTCTCCAACAACACAGCTCAAAGGAGTCAATTCTTCTATCATCCCTAGTCATTTTCCTGCTTTCTGAGCATAGCAAGTAATTGCAAAGACCATGGCCTGGATCAGGCACACTTTAGTCTTCCAGACTGACATCTTTGCTCTTCAGTACTCTGGAGATGTCCCATACAGTGGACTTTGCCAGTGCAATTAGTCTTTTGATTTCCTGGTTGCTGGTACCAAGACAGTCAATTGTGGAGCCAAGCAAGCTGAAGGTATTAACAATCAATCTCTTCCCCATCTATCATGATGCTGCCAATAAAGAAATGACCATCTAATAGAGGTTATAGAGGCTGATAAGCCATCTGCAATTTAGACCTCAGACCTCAGAGAGAAACTTCTTTTGAATCAAGTTGCTGCAGAGCTAAGGTAGGCTGCTTATTCAAGAACCAAAAAGGTGATGAGCCAGATATAGGATCCAGATTGAGCAAAAAGCCAGTGAGCTTTATATTCAATATGTCATACTCCTGACAAAACTTCACCTGATTGGTTGTCCAAAGCAGATCCCATCATGAGAATATGCTACATTAAATTGACAATCCTGTGGAGCACAGTACTGCTCTAACACAAATGAGTCACTATGTGTTGAAACTGGCTCAACCAAAACTGGTAAAAGTGAATAGTAATACTTGGGAATATATTTGTAATAAAATTATCTTCAATTAATACTTTCTGAAGTTATATTAATGGTATTTAATTTCTGTACCAGCAGCCAGGAAATTAAAAGACGAATTGCATTGGGAAATTCTGCTGTCAGAGATCTCTCCAAAGTACTGAAGAGCAGCATTGTCAGTCTGGAGACTAAGGTGTGCCTGATACAGGCCATGGTCTTTGCAATTACTTACTATGCATCAGAAAGCTGGACAGTGACTAGGGATGATAGAAGGAAACTTGATGCCTTTGAGCTGTAGTGCTGGAGAAGAGTATTGAATATACCATTGACTGCTAGGAGAATAAACAAGTTCATCTTGGAGAGGGTAAAGCCAAGCTGCTCCTTGGAGGCAAGGATTCTGAAGCTTCGTCTGACATACTTTGGACATGGTACAAGGTGAGATCAGTCCTTGGAGAGGGACATCATGCTTGGGAGGGTAGAGGGACAGTGCAGGAGAGGAAGACCCTCAATGAGATGGATTGGTTCAGTGACTGGGGTAATGGAGGTAGGTATATCAGAGACAATAAGATTGGCACAGGATAGAGCAGGGTTTAGAGCTGTTGTACATAGGGTCGCTATGAGTTGCAGGTGACTTGATGGCACATAACAACTACAACAACTACCAGTATAAAACCCTAAAATTATTTTTGAAACCATGAGAAAAGATTTTGAAAAATATTGCCCATTGCTGACTCAGATCTTTAGCGATTTCTGAGAGTTATAGTTGATTTACCGATCTTCAAGGTACATAATATAGTCAGTATAGATACAGTATCACTTACAGAAGTTACTAAATTCTAACATCATAAATATTTTTGTTCTCAGAATGATCTCCTTGATGTTGTGGCAAGTATCGACTTGTCAAGAAAGACAGTCAAGAGGATTAGGATAAATTTTGTCTTTGCTCTAATTTATAATCTGGTTGGAATTCCCATAGCTGCTGGTAAGTGACTATTAACTAGTGTTTCTTTTTCTTCTGAAGTCATTAGAGATCTATCATATTTAAACTGTTTTTGTTTTTGTTGTTGTTATGTGCCAAGTCACCTGTGACTCATAGTAACCCTATGTACAATAGCTCTGAACCCTTCCCCATCCTGAGCCAGTCTCACTGACTCCAACACACTACCCCTATTACCCCAGTTACTGTGTCAGTCCATCTCTTCCAGGTTCTTCTTCTCCTGTACTGTCCCTCCACCCTTTCAAGCATGATGTCCATCTCCAAGTCTTCTTATTATTAGTTAACGGAGCTCTAGTGCCCCAGTGGTAAGAAGCTGTACTGCCAACCCAAAGGCACCAGCTCCACTGCAGGAAAATGATGGGCAGTCTACTCTCATGTGATTTACACTCTCATTAAAGCTGTTGAGTGCCAGCTATGGGTCAATTCATCCTCAATGGCACATAGCATGAGCAACATTATTAGTTATATGCTTAATTTTTTTGTGTATCTCATCCTGAAAGGATATAGTTCTTGTTGTTGTTGATTGCTGTCGAGTTAAGCACAATATATAGCAACCCTATGAACAAAAGACCTGAAGCCTTTTTATAACTATTGTTGTTTCTCAAAGTTCATAGTTTCCGGAGGCATGTTGTTTAGGAAGTAGATGCCACTCCTACTTCCGATAGATAATGTTAAAAATAGTAACACCAATTTTCAATTCTAATTAACATTCCTGAAATGTATAAGAATATTCACAGCATTAGAATGAGTATGAATATCTGAGGGGAGGGTGGAAGCAGAGGGGTGAGGATGGGCAGGGGTTTATTAATTGCACAATTTGATGGAGGGGTGAAGGAAGTGGGAAAGATCCAATGTGAAAAACAATGTATTCAAACTTTGTAAATAAATCAGTATAAAATAAAATAAAAAGAATTTTCACAGAAACATTCCATTTGTGGAAAAATTAGCAAGAACACCTGCCTCCATCAAGAAAAGGTTAAAAACTAGAAAGAACAAGGAAGTTCTGGTGGCCTAGTGGCAAAAAGCTTCACTGCAATCCCAAAGGCACGCGGTTCAAGGCCACCAGCCACTCCTTGGGAGAAAGATGGGCAGTATCCTCCCGTGCAATTAATTGCCTCTGAAAACCTGTCGGAGGGTAAGCTATGGTATGGTAATCTCTTTAGTACTGTATGCTGTAATTAATCCAAATTTATTTCCTAGGAGTTTTTATGCCCATTGGTTTAGTTTTGCAGCCCTGGATGGGATCTGCTGCAATGGCTGCTTCATCTGTTTCGGTAGTACTTTCTTCTCTCTTTCTTAAACTGTAAGTATGATGGCTTGATCAAGTTTATATTTTGTATTTCTTTTATTATCAATAGTCTATACTGGTAGAATGATTTTTATATTCATTAATTACAAGCCCAAACCTTTCTTTTTTAAAATTTATTATTAAGTTCAGTGAAAATTTACAGAGACTTTGGATTTCCATTCATTCATTGTTGCACTTTTCTCCCCTCCCAATCCTCCCCCCACAGTACACTACCGTCTTGGAAAAGTGAAAGAAAAATTCTTTCATTGTTTTATAATCCTTCCCCCCAGGTCCATTCCACTATGCAACCTTCACTCTGGACTCCCGTCATGACAAAAATATCTAATCACATATCCCTTTTAAACCACTTTCTCCCTTATCTGTTTCAATGCAGGAGACATTATTTAACCCATCTTTCTCAGTCTCCACCCAACCCCAAGGTCAGTCCTGTTTTACAACAGTGGCACCATGCAGTATTTGTCCTTTTGTGACTAAGATACTTCACTCAGCATAATGTCCTGCAGGGTCACCCATTTTGAATAATATTGCATGATTTCCTTGTTTTTCAATGCAGCATAGTATTCCATTGTGTAAATATACCACAGCTTCTCTATCCATTCGTTTGTTGATGGACACTTGGGTTGTTTCCAACTCTTTGCTGTTGTGAACAAAGCCACGATAAACATGTGTGCACCAAAACTTTCTTAATAATATATTTTGGTCATGGGAACACTGCATGGTTCAAAATTGGGAGGGGCGTATGCCAGGGATGCATCCTGTCTCCATACCCTTTCAACCTGTATGCAGAACAGATTATCCGGGAGGCTGGGCTCTATGAGGAGAAATGTGGGATTAAGATTGGTGGACGATCTATCAACAATCTGC